GGGGGGGGGGGGGGGGGGGGGCGCAAAAAGCCGCTTTTGCATCAAACTTTATCGTTTTTCTTACCTTTGCCCGTTTGAGGACTCAAGAATATAACGTCGAACTGATTTTGAAGTTACCGAGATAATGTTAGGGCAAAGTTAGGAAAAATTGGCTCATTTCGCGGGAAAATCGTATGAATATTGAATTGAAGCATTTGGGGGTCTGAAACTCCCCTTGAAATTGGTTTGAAGTGATTCCTGCGACTTTTCCTTAAATTTTCTTACAATCTAATATTATTTCCCGTTTTATTTTAATTTTTTTCTACGATAATTTAAACCAGAGTTACGATTTCTTGAAAGCAGGTCAAATTTGACTCATCATAGCTCGGTCAAATATCAAGATGAATGAAAAAGATGATCAAGATGCTTAAGATGAGATGATGAGTAAGATGAAAATGAAAACTAAGTAAACGAAATTTCATTTTAGAATCTTTTATAAAATGTCACCACTGTGTTTACAAAGTTCAGAAGATCTGTGAACTGTGCAGAACTGTGAGATCTAGCCTATTTGAATCGGAGATAAACCTGGCAGCGTTAAACTTTGCCTCAACATTTTAATTTCTCATGATTTTTTTTTTCTAGGTTGCACCGCTGAACTCAGGGAGAGGAGGAGCCTGCGTTGTTGTCATCAAACCGTAGGAAACTTCTAAAACACGTTCAACCTTACACTTAGTTTACTTTGCTTTTCTTTACGTTTGACTCAATCACCTCATGACTGAAAAGTATTTTGCTCAGGAGGTACTTGTGTCTCTTTGAAAAGATGTTCATTTTTAAAATGTTCCCCATTCTCTCTCTGTATTAGTAAAAAATGAAGGGTCCTCGCCGCCACCCTAGCATATTCAAGAATGAAGCACCCAAAAATCATTTTTACGTACTCATACATAAGTGGTGTACGGTTTACGCCAAACATTCACTTGTTTTTATACAGGATGTTCGAAAAGTCCCTTTCCCTCCTCCCCCCTGTAACTTTTTACCTAGTTGAGGCGGAGATTTGAAACGTGGGGAATGTTTCAAGGTGAAAGGGAGTTACTTTTTGACTCCCCTAAGATTTTCAGGGGTTCTCTTGGGGGAGGGGGGGGGTAACGGACCCCAACTTTTCATTTTTCAGTGGACCTCACTTGTGATACCTCGTTCGGAAGAGCATAAAAAAGAAAATTTTCTGTGCGAACCCGAAGTCAACATCTGAAACCGTTTCTAAATGGCGGCCGGTTGAAGTTCAAAATGGCAGATAATCGGCACCTAGGCTTTTTGTCGTTAGATTTGCCGAAAACTCGGTAGTGGGGGGGTATTTTAACACACGAAAAACAAATTTGACGTTCGATTCTCTAAAATTCAAAATTTCTTAAATGGCAGCTGGTTAAAGTAAAATGGTCGAAACTTGTTTTCTTTGGAAATCTAATTTCAAATTTGCTAATCTCGTGCCAAAATACCCGTAGGTTCCAAGTTATAAGCAAATCCACAGGCAAATAACCGAGATGCCAATTTTCGGCCATGTCGATCTTTAACCGGCCGCCATTTTAAAACGGTTTGAGATATTGACTTCGGGTTTGCACAAAAAGTTTGATTCTTATATGCTCTTCCGAACGAGGTATCACAAGAGGGGTCTTCTCATTTGAAAATAAAAAGTTGCCCCCCCCCCCCAGGAGGTCCCCTGAAAATTGTGGGGGGGTCAAAAAGTAGCTCCTTTTGACCGGGAAACGTCTTCCAAGTTTCAAATCCGTACCTCTATTAGGTAAAAAGTAAGAAAGGGGGAGGGCACTTTTCCAACACCCTGCATGTGAGACCATTACTTTTTTTCAATCTTCAAGTGTTGGTTACAGAAATGACCAAACTTACAATGTAATTAGGACCTATTTATAGATGTGAATTGAGGCGAGTGCTGGAGTAAGGACCTGTTGTCGAAATAGGAGTCTTGAGAAAAAGGCATTCAGAGTTTTGTTTTGGGTATAATGCAAAGACTGTGTAAGAAGGAAATCTGTGATTGGTGTTTTTGGGTAGGTAGCTAGATTAATTACCTTAAAGGTTGTCCAGTTGTCTGTATAATATTGTTTGTTTGTAATCAAAATGCATAAGATTTGTATGATTTATATAATGATGTTATTATAACAACACGTGGAGGCTCCAAACTTGAAGAAAAATATCAACCAAATGACACATCATGTATACGAAACGTACAGATATCAGTAGAAACCTATCAAAATGACCTGATGAGGATTATCAGGCAAAAGCCTTTTTCTCACACTCTGATGTAACGGCCCAACTAAAACAGGTTTCTTGAGCCCCAAACTCCAGACTTAGTCATAATATTGCTAGAGAGAATGGTCCAGGACACCAGAAATCTGAAATGCTGATTTGGAAAAAACCGGCCCCTGCAGCTGATAGGCCCTTCTCTTAGCTGGATTAGGCAGGGTTCCAAGATGTTACAGAAATTCTTCAAAATTGCTGGTTTTTCAATTCTTTGTGAATGGAAGAGGCTCCTGTCATATAAGAAAAGTGGTCCCAGTCAAATCGCCTGGTTATTAAATGGGGTCTTGGTGCCTTTCGTTAGGTTGTCTTGATGCTGAAAATTTCGAGACTTCATGCTGATTTTTGAAAATTTCATCTGGAAACGTATGACGATGGCAGGTATTTTTCATAGGATGGACTTGAATATCTCATGGAAACCCTTGCATGTTATTCCTTCGCAGACGACGTAGAACATGCTGTCCTTACGTGCAAGAGAGCAGAGTCTGAGCAAGATGCGCTGGAGAGAGCATGGAGGTCCAAGAACTGCACGCCGAATCATTGCCTAAGCAGGCTCTGTCATTATGAGAGACATGGGCAGCCCTGGCTACCTTCGAGAGTGGAGTGATGCGGAATTGGGAGCCTCCTCTACATTATAAAACTCCAAAAGAAATGTCAGAAACAACAGCACTCGCAACCTCTATTGTATTCAAGTTCTCACAATCTCTTCAAAGAGTCTTTTACAAAAATTGTTCTAGTTCAATTGAGTTTTTTCTGATGAATTTAATGAAAACAGGCCCTCAGGCCTGCCAAACTCATGGGTTGATTCCACCTTGTTCAAGAGGAATGAGGATGCTTAAAAAAAAAAAAATAGAGAGACTAGTTGTCGGACCTGCAAGCAACAGGTTGTTGAGCTTATATTTCATGGCCAACTGCTGGCCTTGCTGAAGCGCTTCGGGGACGCTTATGATGTAGGATTTTGGAGCGGAGCAGAGCCGAAGAAGGCGTGTTCAAAGTTCCATTGGTAATGGGTTAAAGAACAGTTCAGGCAACTACCTACAATAAGTAGCCCACAAAAATCTCGGGTAGCTTTTTGTACAGTGTGAACAGTGTAAGTTTTGACACTGGATCCAAATTTCAACTTTGCCCCCTAAGACTAGTGCTTGGAAGTTGCCAAATTTGGTGAAAATGGCCTTAAATTGGCTTTTTTGTAAATAATGGTTAGTAACTTGCCAAAAGTTGATCCGACTACAATTTTTTTTTTTTTTTTTTTTTTTTTTTTTTTTAAATGAGAGCGCATAATATTCCTTATGAAATTGGTTTTAGTATGAATTTTATTGCTCGGGCTGAAATTGAAAGTGCCGAAACATGGCAGCAAACTTTGAACCATGAGCCAAGAATGGGTTTTTTTTTCGCAGTTTTTTACCATTTTCCCATCCCTCCCATCTATCGAAAAATGTCTCGACAAATGAAGTAAAGCTAGTAAAATCTACGATGACCTACATGGACAGTCAATAAATAAAGAACCAAACGCATTTCAATGTTGCCGAGATTACATAAAATAGTTTTTGCGATTTTTAGGGCTATTGCCTAGTTGTCCAATCACATTTTTGTTGTTTATTCGGTAGCAAAGAATCAATCAGAATAAATTCAAGTAAAAATGAGATAATTCTCAGTCACAATTTGCATCATTAGAATTAGGTGTAAACGCGTTGGAGGGTCGTCACTCTCTGAGGTTGTTTGTCAAGCATTTCAGATAAATTTGTATTCAGCAATAAAAATCGCACAGGTGACACTGAATACGCAGCCACTCGGTATTGGAGCAGGCTTTGGTCTCTTTTAGGACTATTTGCCTTGACTGGAAGTGGTATGTGTTTGCTGGGTGACTATCCCTCTGGACGCAGGTTTGTGCTTGAGTGCTCGGCGATTCAAATAAGAGCAAGACCACTGCCTTAAGGTGATTCGATGGAGGCCATTTTTTGTGTTAGTTTCCAAAATTGTTAATTTTGGAAAATCCTTTCATACCCTCTTGAGACGAAATGAATACCCATAATTAAAAAAAAAAATATTCTGGTTAACACGATGAATATGAAAAAATGTATAATGAACTAATTACTTATTCCTTAAGTTTTTATGAGATGAAGATGGATGAAACCGCAACAAACTTGATTCATTATTTGATTCATTACACTTTTACGATGAAATATTGTCGATAATCAGCATTCTCATGGAATTTTAGGAATGATTTCTACAATTTTCTCGCTTAGAGGCGAACTCTACTATTTAATCAAAATTGATCGCAAAAAGATCAGCGGGCTTAGAATCTTTCCCTGCAACCAAGTGCATAGTGCACGTGGAAAAACTTTTCCGATGCAACAGCGGGGTTTCTCCCTCTTTCGTCCCCGAAGGCATTTCCAGATGCCTGTTTTCAAACCCTGGAAAAATATACCTACCTGCATGTTGCCTCTATTTTTGGAGGTAAATAGAGGTTTTCTTAGCAGACGCAAGGGCGGATATCTGCTGCTGTCTCGAAGTAGGAGGAACGCCACTGTTGCATCGGAAAAATTTTTCTACGCACTGCATGTACTTGGTTTGCCGTCCTTACTACGAAAAAGCAGCAAATAAGCCCCTGCATCTGCTGAGAAAATTTCTATTTACACCAAAAAAAGGGAACTTCATAATTTGCCCCCCACAAAAGGTGCATTAAAGCAGCACGCCCTTTGCGCTGCTGACCAGGTAAGGCAAGTTTGGGAACGTGTTTTGTCTCCAGAAAAAGAAATTCCTGGCCGTGAGAAGTACGAGTTGATCGAAAAGAGAGAAAGTTGGTCACTCATCTGGTCAAATCTTCTTTCCATTTGGAACGGCTGTCGGGAGATTGTTAAATGCAATTGCAAGTCTGCCTGCACAAAGAGATTCTCCTGTGTTAAAGCTCAAGTTCAATGCACTTTCATCTGCACACAATGTTCTGGAGGTACTTGTATTAGTCATTGCAGTAATAGTTTAACAAAAGTTATTATAAATTGACTGAATTTTAAAAAATTCCTACTAAAGCGGAGGACATTGTCGATGCCCCCTTAGTGTGCCTTAAATGTCATGCAGGGCGGTTATCGGGCACATTGTGAGAGAAGGGGGGGGGGTTATCGTGGCTGATATGATGCTTGGATATGGAGAGTTTCCTAAAAATTGAAAGTCCGAAGAAACTCTACTACGTGAACTTTTTAGAGTTCCCAGATTCGTTGTGGGGAAGGATTCTAAACACATTGACCTTTTAGCGATCAATTTTAATGGGTCAGTCGCGCTAGTCATAGAATCGTGTTTTGACGTTTGATTCTTGTGGATTAGCTATAAACAAAAAGATTTGTACGAGCAAAAGCTTTCTTCCTTCAATATTAACCAAGATATCCAACTTTGAAAAATTTGGTTGATGACGTCATCCAAAGCGGTACCGCTTTGGATACAGCTTGGGTGTCACTACTATAGTGACACTCTTGGTTTCTTCTACCTTGCTCTCATATTTCAGGCTGACACTCAATTTCACTGGTTACTCAACGTGAAACAATTGAAACATGCGTGAAACTCGGATGAAAGCAAGTTGGAGGAAACCAAGGGTTTCACTACCGCGGTGGATAACGGGATAAATCGAATTTTTCAAAGCACGATATCTCGGATAACGTTGAACTTTGAGAGTTGCTGTTGGAACAGATCCTACTATTCTTAGCTGATTTACAAGATTCAAGCATCAGAACACATATCTGTGACCAGCTCGACTGATCTAGGCAAGAAATTTGTATAAACCATAGCTAATTCACGAGAATGTCGATAATCGCCGTTATATCCCCATTTTTAAATCGAGATAAATTACATAATGAAAAAAGTTTGTTGCGGTTTCTCATTCACATCATATCTACCAGCATAATTAAAGAAAACCGATATCTGCCCTTGCGTCTGCTAAGAAAACCTCTGTTTACCGCCAAAAATAGAGGTGACATGCAGGTAGGTATATCTTTCCAGGGTTTGAAAACAGGCATCTGGAAATGCCTTCGGGGACGAAAGAGGGAGAAACCCCGCTGTTGCATTGGAAAAGTTTTTCCACGTGCACTATGCACTTGGTTGCAGGGAAAGATTCTAAGCCCGCTGATCTTTTTGCGATCAATTTTGATTAAATAGTAGAGTTCGCCTCTAAGCGAGAAAATTGTAGAAATCATTCCTAAAATTCCATGAGAATGCTGATTATCGACAATATATCGTCGCAAAAGTGTATGAATCAAATAATGAATCAAGTTTGTTGCGGTTTCATCCATCTTCATCTCATAAAAACTTAAGGAATAAGTAATTAGTTCATTATACATTTTTTCATATTCATCGTGTTAACCAGAGTATTTTTTTTTTTTAATTATAGGTATTCATTTCGTCTCAAGAGGGTATGAAAGGATTTTCCAATTAATAATTTTCATGAAAATTGTGCGATGAATGATCAAAAAACAGCGAGTATTCCAGTTGTGTAGCGCATGAACGCGGGCCGACGCGAGGTTGCACGGCGCATAAGTTGCGAACCTCTACCCGAGCGCGCGACCAAAATCGTCTTCACGCGTTTTCTATTCGTCACAAAAAAAGGTTTTGGTATCGTTTTGAAGGTCAGAAAATCCTCCACCCACCTCAAGAAAATAAAGGGCTCTAATTGCGCCCAGAAACAAAAAATCAACGGCTGTTAAGGAAATTAAAAAATTCACGTATTTTTTCATAATATGGCAAATTATTTAAAGGTAAATGTAAAAATGCACATTATTTGAAAAGGTTTTTATAGTAGCTTTCAAACGAAAGCAAAAGTTTGAAAATCGAACGAATGATTGGAGAGATATCGCGCGTTTTACACATGTGAAGCGCGCTCGTGGCCATGAACGCGGGGTGGAAATCGCGCGCCGCGGCCAATCGCGCGACACTTAAATGGCTCTCGCGGGATAACCACTCATAGCTTAAAAATGGTTTTGGTATCAAATTAAACGCGAGATTAAGACCCATCTCTTTTACAGAGGAGAAAATATCAATTTTCCTGCTCAGTTAAAAGTTATTTTGCTTTGAAATTTTACGAATTTTCAATGAAAAATTTTTTTGTAAAATTTTGGACAAATTGTTGGCCAAGTTGAACTTGTTATAATTTATTCATGTTTCAGGCCCTTTTAGCTCTCACTTAAAAAAAAGAAAATCAAAATTGGACAGTTAGCAACAGAGATATTGCACTTCAAAAAAGCGCTTGGCCTCCATCTTTAACGGCCGCCATCTTGGATCCTGCACGGATTTGAAAGTGGTTCTACGGACAAAAACTTTTATTTTTTCATCTAGTATGACCTCCCAAAGTGGCAATTTCCTATAAAAAAATCGTCGATTTTGATCGTACCCACCGTACTAATGTGGTATATATTTTCCTCGGCTCAAATGACCTCAGGTCCATTGAATATGACTCTCAATTCAATAAGTATGAGTACAAAAAAGTCATTAGCACTTGTAGAAAGGTTTTTGTGAACGTTCGGATCATCAAGATTCCCCCATCCCCTTATGCTTATAGTGCCTCGTAGCATAAATACGTTCATTTACATGTAATGCTAAAGACCGCCTCATGTTTTGTTGCAAATGCCCGGATTTACTATACAACGGGCTGCCATCACGCGAGAAGCAAGGATCCGTTAGCGGGCGCAGTAAGATCAAGGTTTACATGCATCTTGTGGTGAGGAGGAGGGGGGGTAACTCCTGCTGCATATTTCATAATATCAGAAGCAGTAATTAATGAATTAAAGTGGGATATTTTCTACTTCCAATGTAAAAGGGAATTTTCAAGCGTTTTCAGAAACTGTGAGAAAGACAAAGCAAAGTCTGATGCCCCCCCCCCCTCACCCGAACAGTCAAAATGTTGATTATGTAATCGAAAATGCCCTTCAGAATTGCCTATTGACGACTGTAGAAAAACAACGTTTAAAAAAAAATATCCCCCTGAAAACCCGAAGTTTTTGTAAATGTATGCAATTTTTGGCTCTGAGGGCTCATTTTAGGCCCCCAAAATTCACCGTATGGTTAAAGTTGGTAGTTTAAATATTCGGAGGCTTAAAATATCCATATTCAAGAAACTTAGGCATTATATCCCGGAAGAAAAAAGAATTTAAATAATATGACGGGACGTGCTATGGGTAATTTGGCTATTTTAGCCCAAAAGTACCTTTAAATCGACCTTATTTTCCAGGAGCTCGACAGAAACGTTTTCTTTTTGGCTTAAGTGACTCAGTAGACACTCTACTTCAAGAACCTGAAGAGTTTTTGCTTGTGACTCATCAAAAAATTTAAACTCGTTCAGGCGCACCGTGATCCATTTTTGTACCATGAATATGACATCATTGGTGCCCTTGCTTTTTCTGAATCCCTGCTGTTCCTTAGCCATCTGCACGATTTCCTCCACAATGCCTTCGAGAACGGATGTAAGTAACTTTGGGCATGTATTTAGGAGCATAATACCGCAATAGTTTTCAGGTGCAAATTCGTCACCTTTCTTGAAGATGAAATTTATCAGCGAGTTCATGTTTTTTCCCTTCTTTTTTCTTTTCTGGGTGAGAAAGGACTTTCTATTCAATTCGTGTTATAATTCCCAATTGTATTGCTGTGATAGTATTTAATTTTAAAAAAGTTATTTTACTGTACTTAATATTAAGGTTTTAAAGTGCCCCCTCCACCCCATGTCCTCAACCCTTCACTTTTTGTATTTCTTTCCCTATTAGCCACAAGATAATTCGAGTAAAAAAACCATCAACAACCGTCTCGTAGGACAAATCAGTTTGAATCCACTCATCTCTCTGCTTTTCCAAGAGTCATGTATATTTTCAAGTTTCAGGACTTAAACTGACTTAAATTATAAACTGACCGAATGTATGAAAGTATTTAAAATAATGTTCTGTTTTCTTTTTTTCCATATTTTATATTATTATACCTTTTTTTCTTCTCATTGGGGAGACTTTTTGATTTCCTTCTCTTTCCGTATTTTATTGTTGTTTCAAAATCAAACTTGCCAAGCCATTTTGTGGATGAGTGATCCAGAGGAAAAAATCTTGAAATCTAATTTATCTATGTGAAAGACGGTGATTTTATACTGTAACCGGGGATCCCAAGAAATTGCAGTCTCAATTTGCATTTTACAGCGCGATTTTTTTTAGACACGGATGTTTTGAAGTGTGACTAAGATAGAGGCGCTACCCACAACTTACCGATTCCGAAATTAAAACGCAAATGGCTAAAAGGCGAATTTCAATCTTAAATGACATTTTCTGGGTTTCGAAACACAAATTCACAAACTTTGAAACGCAAATTCACGGACTTCAGAAATGCTTTTTTCTAAAATGATTGTAAGGTTGCATTTTACAGTCTTACAAGAACAGCTCACATTATGGTTTTGAAGTGACATGAGCCCTCCTTAATTAAATGCCCCGTACCTTTTCAATTTCGAATATAGTCCAAAGTGCTCACGAACTTTAAGAAATAATATTAGTAGAGCTTGATACCGATTTTCAAATATTTAAAGGCATGTTTTTAAAATTCACAATGTTGTTGAAATAACTCACGGTGTGAACTTTGGTAATTTGGTTACCCAAACAATTTGACGTTATCAAAAATCGCTTGGCGTACTCATTTTGAATGAAATTTAACAGATATATTTTAAGATGCGGCTGTACCTACCCACTAATTGGGGATGCCAGATGACAATATTTCCTCTACCTGCAAGAGTGGCAAGAAAGGCAATTACAAAAATATGTAAGAAATTACGTTGATAACTCATGAATCAAAAGATGAAGTATGCCAGGAAGAATTCAACACGACTAGACCAAGCTAAATGATTTCCTGGTTCAGCCATTGATATGTTCCCTTTAACAGAAGTAGCCATTTACATTACATCATTTTAAAGTCTGAGTCTGTAACATGCAAATTTTCTTTGAATTTTTATGGAATTTTTAGCTTCATTGACATAAATTGAAATAATAATAATCTACTAATCCTTTGTTTTCTTTATCGGGAACTACGTGATTGACTTTCTTTTCCGCCCGATGAATTTTTCGGTTGTCACTATTTAAACTTAAACGATGGCCATTTCGGCTTCTGTGGAAGCCATCATCAGGCAATTATTAACTAACAACGAAAATAAAAACAAAAACCGAAGCTAAAAACTGACGTTAAAAATTCCACGTATTATCGCCGGCGACGCGTCGCGATACTAGTCAGTGCGATATCTTGCCGGTGATCAGCTGACTGTGTTGCGTCACATAGGAGGGCGGGGGGACGATCACTGGTGCCACCTGTTGCTCGATTTGTGAATTAAGTAGCTGCTCCTTAGGTGTTTTCATTATTTCGATTTGTTCTAATACATTTAATTTTCGGCCTTTTTGACATACTTTTTCTAGTTTCGCATAACAATTTTCCAGTTTATGGTCAGTGTCGATTATATGATCCCCAAACGATGAATGACCTCTCCTTTTTAGTATGGCACAGTCAACGTGTTCCTTCAGCCTTGTTGCCACACTCCTTCCTGTTTGGCCTATTTATATTTTCCCACAGTTACACTCTATTTTGTACACCCCGCTTGCTTCCAATTTTTCACATTTCTCTTTTGTATTGATCAAAATTCTGCCCAAATTTCTCTGGTTGCCGTAGGTTACCTTTACGTTTTTGTCCTTCTCTATTATTCTCTTCACTCTCTCAGATATTTTCTCGATATATGGTATTGAAAGACATTCAACTCCATATATTGTTGAAAATCCTGACATCGAAGGATGCATGTCATTGAAAATCCTAAAACATGTTGTTAGGAATTCTAGGATGATGAATGACATTAAACGGCGCATGTCATTGGTCATCCTACGATTATGGATGACACATGTCATTGGTCATCCTAGGATTATCAATGACACTGAAAGACACATGCAGCTGGTAGTACAAAGGGAGCATGTTTGCCATAGAAAAACCCTACAGAGATGAATGAAGTTTGATGTAGAAAATGTATACCAAGGTATTGATTGATGCGCCACATCTAGTCCGAATAACTCCACGCTTACTCCAGTAACTCTTCATTAGTCACCGGTGTAAAGTATCGTGAGATTTTGACTGTGAGACCCTCAGTTTTGGGGGGATGGAGACACACAATGTCTTTAATTCAAACTTAATAGGTTATAATGATAAATCATGGCATTCAGGTCTACTTAAATGATGCCGACAAATACAGCTAGATCACTAAAAAGTATGACAGAAAATATTCAAAGCTTTGAACTGCATAAAATCAAAATTTTCAGGTAATATACAGCACAAACATGTAACTCAGACTTGAGAGGGCATCAAACTTGCCGAGGTGATGTTTCATGAGGAGCATCAAAAGAAACTGCTTTCTACAGTTTATCAAAGTCCTTCTGTGTCGAAAGAGTATGCGTTAAGAAATTATATAAAAAAAGACTCACCAAATATATAGTTCTTCTTTAAAACTTGAATTCTGAACAGATTGGTTTTACCTACTGATTCAGATATTTAGGCGTTCCCAACACTGAACTTAAGTACACTTTTCTTCTTCGTTTGAAAAATTAATATCTGGACAAATCAGACTTTTAAAATCACTGTTTATGATTATTTAAGTTGCCTACACTAAATATTCCTTGATATCAATGTTGTTTGAAGCACTACATGATGAATTTTGAGGTGATTTGATTTTGCTGCGAACTCTCTACCAATGATTGCTCAGATACAGGATGAGCATTCAGATCATAGGAGCTCCGTCATTTGGATCCATTAGCCCGTACAGGAGCTCGCTCCAATACTCGCGTTATCCACAAAATGTAGCAGTAGATTGAAGATGGCATTGCTAAGCGCGCTCCTTACAGTCTCCGTCCACAGTCTCTAGCGGCAGATTGGAGACTGAGTTGATAAGCGCGCTTCTCACGGTGTTCATCCACTGTCTCTAGCGGTTGAACGAAAATGAGTCGGGAACGAGTCCAGGCGAGCGCATCTAGCCGCGTGTGTAGTGCGTTTGGAGTTGCGGAGAAATGCAGGAGTCTGGATGCGCGCGCCGCGCGTCCTTCAACAGGCAAGTTGTTGTTAGTTGTGATTCAGGATTCAGTTGATCAGTTGTGATTTGAGTCGTGAGCGCTTACGGCGCTTATGGAATTGATTGTAAAGTCCAATTGTTAAAGTAAGTATTTTCCCCATGTTTTTATTGCGTTTTCATTTTCTTTACCGGTGTTTAATTCTGCCGCTCGTGCAAGAAACAAAGCCGAAGTATTTATCTCTTAGTTAGTTATTTCGCTGAGGGACGAAAGTTAGTTTTCCTTTTCAGAGCTAACCTCCCTACCACTTTGCACCATGCTCTGTTTGTTTGAATTCAACATATTTCCTTGCGAAAGTGCAGGACAGCTGATCCTCAGTTGTCCTCCAGACGTTGAACTACTAATGCGGCAAGAACACAATTCAGCTTAATAAGCCAAAATTCTCGTGATTGTAGTCTATTCGAATCTTACTTGGCTAATGCAAGGTATCACTGGCTTATATCTTGTAGACTCGTGTAAGCACTCGAGCAGTGAGCTTGCTTATGAGTTGTCGACGTATATACTTAATCAATGAGTTTCAGACTGCATCTCACTTCTTCTCCGCTAGGTACTTTCATCTGTGCTCAGGGTTGGAATTGTCCTTGTCCATTGTAACCTATCTCGGATGAGATAAGCTGAACTCAATGAGTAATTGATTTTGGTTTCATCCGCTGGGTGGTCCTTGTGAGGTGTGGAGTATTTGTTCACAATAACATACCTCAAGGGGTTGCGGAGTCTCTCAGAAGTCAACGGAAATGAAATGGTGATTTTCACAGAACTTTTATGCGTTAGTTCTGAAGTATTCAATATTTAAATGACAACAATCGCTGATTCGTTTAACAGAGTAAATGTATAAGAACTAAACATAAGTTGGGTTTATTAGGTGTGAAGCTAATGTGTAATGTCATTTTCTTCATCTATTTTTCAGTGGCCTCACTCCAGACGAGCATCTGCACTCAGATTTATTTCCAAGTATTCTGGAATTTCCAAGCGGCTAATATTCTATGATCTGATTGCCCATCCTGTATCTGAGCAATCATTGGTGAAGAGTTAGCAGCAAAATCAAATCACCTCAAAATTCATCATTTAGTGCTTCAAACAACATTGATATCAAGGAATATTTAGTGTAGGCAACTTAAATAATCATAAACAGTGACTTTCAAAGTTTGATTTGTCCAGATATTAATTTTTTCAAACGAAGAAGAAAAGTGTACTTAAGTTCAGTGTTGGAAATGCCTAAATATCTGAATCAGTAGGTAAAACCAAACTGTTCTGAATTTAAGTTTTGAAGAAGAACTTTATATTTGGCGAGTCTTTTTTTATATAATTTCTTAACGCATACTCTTTCAACACAGAAGGACTTTGATAAACTGTAGAAAGCAGTTTCTTTTTATGCTCATCATGAAACATCATCTCAGCAAGTTTGATGCCCTCTCAAGTCTGAGTTACATATTTGTGCTGTATATTACCTGAAAATTTTGATTTTATGTAGTTCAAAGCCTTGAATATTTTCTGTCATACTTTTTAGTGATCTAGCTGTATTTGTCGGCATCATTTAAGTGGATCTGAATGTCATGATTTATCATTACAACTTATTAAGCTTAAATTAAAGACATTGTGTACCTCCATCCCCCCAAAACTGAGGGTCTCGCAGTCAAAATCTCACGATACTTTACGCCGGTGACTAATGAAGAGTTACTGGAGTAAGCGTGGAGTTATTCGGACTAGATGTGGCGCATCAATCAATACCTTGGTATACATTTTCTACATCAAACTTCATTCATCTTTGCAGGGTTCTCTATGGCAAACATGCTCCCTTTGTGCTACCAGCCACATGTGTCTTTCAGTGTCATTGATTATCCTAGGATGACCAATGACATGTGTCATC